ATTTTCCTGTGTAGGTCCATGGCACCAAATACCAATGTGAATTCCTTGTAGGTGAAAACCTACCTGACCTTCTGATTCAGATTCTAATACTGGTCTGACAGTCACTACTGCAGGAACCATTACAAAGAGGCTAAAGAGCTGTATGTGGGTCAGGAGCCATAGGTTGCAGACCTCTGCCCAAGCCCCCAATTTTACTCATTACTAATACATCTTCACGCTATCGCTAATCCAACCCTAATTCCAATCCCGACTCTAAACTAAAGCGAAAGCAAAATGTCACCACCAAACTGAATATTATAACATGATACAACACAGCCATAATTGTAAACAGTCGTAGTGTATTGTTTTCATACATTCATATTATGGTAGTTGAGGACCAGGAATGATCCTGTGGCCAGGGAGCAGTGCCAACCTGGACAAACACAGATGTCAGTTCACAGGATTCATCGGAGTTGATCCGCAGCCAGAATTCTACCCTGACGACATTATGACTTCATATGTTAACACGTAAGATGGAAAGTGCCGCACACATGATTTTTACACTGATTTCCAGTGAGTTGTGGTATTGTGGTGGAATGATAGATAGATCAGGGTGGAAATACACATTCATGGCGCTCCGGGACTCGAAAGAGAGGACTTGAAAGGACGCCACAATCCCAGCGAACAGCAGGAGACAAGTCCAGAAAACTGCCACTGTTGGGTGGTATCACAGAAATCAAATCATTTGAGTCAACACCCGGGAATAAAAGGTTATAATCTGGGTTAGATAAAGGAACACCAGGCAGCAGTGGCTGAGGGGAGGGAGGGGGTGAGGGGCGGTGGTTCCTCTGAAACATGGTGGTCCACATTTCAAGAAGGCAGTGACTAATTGGCTCATTAAAATACACATTTTATACAGAGCCTGAGTATTTCAACGTTACTTGGCTGGCTGGGTTGAATTATGGTTTTACCACTGTGAAAGCCACCGTACTGTTATCTTCACCGATACAGTCTGTTGGCTCCGTTTTTAGATTAAAAACACATGAGCAAGTACACTTTTCACTGTAAGAGTTAAGGTCTAATAATGAAACCTAAGAAACTATTAGCGTCCTGAACACAACCACAACCAAGACTGACAGGTTAACTGTACGGTTGGTAACCTGAAACCAGGGCTGTCAGAATGAATGCAGCAACTATTTAATTCATCAGAATTCATTTTTATAGTATTTACCACATGACTGACAAAGAATATATTTTAATTCTACAGTCTTTTTAGTAGTACTTCACAGTCAATATACATCATTTTTACCAGGGAGGGCTCGATCAGGATCGGTACCGAAGACCGACTACTCAACAAGATTGAACGCTATCGACTTGGCTAAGTATTGGCTTGATCCAAAGCTGTCGGATTGATATCGGTATCGGCAGATACTCCAAGGAGCCATCCCTAATTTATACACACTGAGGGGAAGAGTTTTAGTTTTGCTGAAGTAACTCAAGCTTCAAACAACGGTTTAAATGCCCAGCATTTGTGCACGGCTACAGTAACGAGCTAATTGAGCTAATTGTCATTATTGTTGAGCACAAACAACATTTTAGTATTGTGGGTAATGGGCATTAAATGACATCTAAGAGTGACCTGAAAACATGTTTGTATATAAGAGAAGTATTTAAACAGCATTTCCTATATTATAGCCCACATGTGAAACAAATTCTCTCTCTGATTGTTAAAATTACACTGGACGGTATTAAACTTTTACACATTTGCCTCCTGTAAATATTTCATTTTCATTGACAGTAAGAAAGAAGTCAAAAAGACATCATGTTTATTATAATTATTGTCCTTCTGGGCATCATACGGTTCACGTAAAAGTTCCTGGACGTGAGGAACAACAGTGATTAATGACCCGTCTCCTGGGCTATTGTTTTTCTCTCTGTGGCGGCTCTCCTCCTGTTACCCTATAAGTATTTCTTATGCTGACTCCTTCACCCATGTATACAGTATTATAGCATGCACTTCCAGCCTTCGCAGTCCTACAAATATTTGTTATACAGGCTCCTCATGTTTATTCAAAGTACCGGGTTACTCTGTTTGGGAAAGATAGCCAGACAAGGGCCCCTTGGGGAGGAAAAAGAAAACTATTCCAAATGAGAAGTAATGATTCATACCACAGATAGTGTATGGGTTGGAGTCCAGGCTGGACCCAGCAGCACGATTGGACAGTTCCACTCCATGCACTTTTGATTGGATCGAAACAGTGCATAGACAACTTAGTATTGCATTACTGTAAATATATGGCCGTGTGTGCGTATGTGTGAGTGAGTGTGACCAGAGTCATGTGGGTGGTCTCCGTTCGCTATCATTATACAACACAAAGCCTCATTGGTATTTCGAGGAGGAAATTAATATTGCCATCAGCGCTGGCTGTTGCGTGTGCGCCTACATGCACGAACGTGTTTGCATACTTCCGAAAAAACAAAGTCGGAGGAAAAATGTCCACTTAAGGCGAGGAATTTTTTTTCTACATTTAACTCTTGAGTTAAACCACAGCGCTGCGTGACGACACGGGAGCCGTCACCTCAGCTCGGTCGTTGATGTGAAGTCTGCGACACCAGAGACAATCCATGCAGATTTAGGTTTGATAACTTGGATTTAATATTTTCTCTTTACTGCTTTTATATGAAATATGTTGGCATTTAGATCATGAGAAACATGGATTAAGAATTTTTTTTCTTTTCTTTCAAACAGCATTTCTGAACAGACCAAACGTATCACATGACCTACACATTAAGCAGATCCTCAAAGGTTTATGTCCTAACTTTGAATAGATACTAACAATAGTCCTCGTATAAAACCTGTGAAGTCATGGCCACAGGTCTTATGTCCCAGAGATGAAAAAGAACCTCTACATTATTAACAAAGAAACACGCTGACGCCAAATATCTGTCAGGACTCGAGGCTACATCAGCGCTCCTTCTACTCAGGTGTGTAAATGTCAACGTGTACTCTGTTGGAGCAATCTAAGGTTTTTCCAGAACCTCCAGGGATTCATTCTTGAACCCAGTCTCATTGGAGACAAAACGTTCAACAGTGGACAGTAGCACACTTCACTTCAGCGAGTAAAACAATCTGTAGTTCATGAACTTCAAGCTAAACCAAGTTTGTCATCAAACTAATCAATTCAACTGAAATCAACACACTGACATACACACACAGCCAACATCCCCACAGTAACTGACACAGTAACTGACACTGACTGACTGCAGTTCTCTGGCTGCTTAAATAAAGAACACCAACGAGCTGCACAGCTGAGTTCACTCTGAGGTAATGATTCACCTGGAGCTGAGGAGGAGGAAGGGGAGGAGCTAAGGAACAGGAAAGGAAAGAGGAGACAATGGCCACAAACACACACACGTCCTCAGACCTCAGTGCTTTCATACATGAGCCACAGTGAAGAGTGGATTCAGACAGAGGTGACCTCAGACTGGTGAGCAGTTCAACTCTTCAAATCCAGCAGGAACAAACAACGACAGGTGTCTTTAGTTTAAATGGGATTAAAAAAGTATAATTAAAACAGGCCGTGTTGATTGAACATATCAAAGTACAAAAGTTAACAGTACAAACTGTTAAAATTAGCCATTTCTTTTTTTTTTCTTGATATAAATGATTATTGTTGTGCAATAAAGATTCTTTGGTTTCTATGAGGAAACATCAACACCCAGATTAATCAGATATAAACTAAGTAGAAAAAGGACAACTGCAACTTTTATTGATAACATTTCATTTTTCAGCCTAAACTTGTGATTTCTAATTTTGTGTATCTGAATCGATCGTTTATTCTTCTCTAAATCAGATCGTATTTTTCCCCAGCAAATCAGAAACGAGAAGGTAATGTGATGATCGCAACGAAGACCATGCGACTTAGCTTAGCAACACAAGCTATATTTTAGTACGAGAAAGTGGCCATCATTTTTACTACTACTTCCTACTACTAATCACTGCCAAACATCCAGGTTCACTTTCGGCTCTAGACTCTTTTTCGGAAGCTTCTTCTTGTTCTGAGTCGAACACTGGCTAAAACACAAGGAGGGCGGAGCCTGAAGTGGCTCGTTAGCATTTAAAGGTAAAGGCACAGGAAGCAGCTGTGTAAAACTAGCATTTAAACAAGACAAATGTGACAGAGACAAATGTACTTTAGACATGCTATAAACTTTAATAGACATATTGATATTTCTGAAGAGAAACAAAGTAACCCCCTAGTTTTATTTACAATACAGGAATAAAAAAAAAGTCACATACAGTACAATGTAAAAACAACATAGAGAACTTAAATAATTTTATTTGTGTAACTACTTAAATAATGAAAAAAATGGTTATTCTATTCACACCACGCCATCTCAGCAGCTACAATGCAACTTTCACATTAAGTGCTAAAATAATGATCATTTGTTTGTTCATTTAACAGCATGAATTCCACTGTGACTCATTCAGACCAGGTAGATATTTAATATTTCAGCGATCAGCAAATGAGGACAATGCGAAGGCAATAAAGATAAATAAATCATGACGCTTGGAGACTTTCGGAATAAAAGCTCGGAGAAAAAAAAACAAAACAACAACTGATGATTTGGATGGTTTTCATTCCAACATAATAAATGAAACAATGTTCATAGGCTGCACTGATAATGACCGTCTGCGTTCTTATTTTAATTGACACATTAAGACATTTATGTAGGTCCAGATGTTATCAGTCTGCATTGTTTTCTTTTAAGTTTACTGTTTGATCTCCTTTTTTTTTTTCTTCTCAAAGCTTATCTGCGTTAGACTGACCCTCAGGTGAATTTGAATTCTGATAAGATCTGCCGGTGACTCTCGGCTGCTTCCACAGTGACTTGGTGGCCTGACAGAATCTTTGAAAAAAATCTCACAACAGAGACAAATTTCTGACAGCAGTAATGAAACCGTGTGTCGGGCCCGTGGGGGGAGGCGGTGGGG